TATAATATCACTACCATGTGGACAAGTTGGTTCAGAAACAAAAACATACATATGATCATCGAAAGATGCTATTACCACCATATGATGTCTATTATTTTATGTTTTGATAATCGATTTACACTACAAGAAAAATCCAGATTCTTAACACGACAGAAGTGCTATAATACGTCATTCATAGCGTTTTCATAAACGCTGTTTCTGCCCCAGTTATTATAGACCCCCCACATACGATAGCATTTTCGGCATGTTATGGTAAACCCCCACATACGATAGCATTTTTATATTATTGCTTTAATCAAACGCTATAATATACTTTATTGTAACCCACGTTTAGTGCTATTTTATATAATGTCGTAGATTTTTTTTTTGCTATATAAATTTAATTTGATTTATAAAATAAATTTTATTTTGGAACCCAATTTTGTAAAATTTACTTAATTGGACATATATATATATATATATATATATATATCATCAACAGGTAAATATTTCATTAACCAACAAGTCATACATAACATCATATTAAGTCTTATACTTATTACTAAAATGCTGCCTAGTCTTAAACAAACTAAAACTAACATCACAAGGCGAAAATAAAAAACTTCTTAAAGCCTTCAAAATCATCATCTTCTTAAACTAGCTTCTTTATACCCGTAGAATGTGTTATCTCGTACCTAAGCCTCACAATATTCTTATCACATGACGAAAACAAGTCTTTGAAACCATCCTCTCACTTAACCTGTTTTACAATAAAACAAAACAAACGAAACCAATACAATCAAAAACGTTCATGGACTTTCTATATCTCCTTACTTGAACATGTCGTCTCATAATAAGAAGTGGCAACATCAGTTTTTAACTAAGGGACATACTGCAAGGATATACTAAGATAGAAAAGACAGAGATAAAAGAACAAACCAAACGTCAGAAAGTATACAAAGAGTTAGATGTAAATTGATTCTTTGAGAGCAATGTCATTTGCAAACTGAAAGTAAACAAACCTCAGTTCCTGCAAATAGCTTCAAAATTTTCTTGCCAAAGCTCAGGAGCAACTCTTCCAATGGTGTCTCTAGCAGAAGATCTGCCTCCACCCTTGAAAAGACCAAGTCAATACACATTAGACATACAAAAATGTAGGAAAACAAATACTTCTTAGTAAAGCTTTGCCTTTAAAAGCTTATCCAAAATCTATAAGCTTTAAAATCTGTTCAGCGTCACTAATAATTTCTTTCTTAAGACCAGCAACAAACACTCCACGTTGTACATCAAGAGAAAGCAAGAGAATTTAAACACTCATAAGCAAACTAATGAAGAAGATATTACTAATGAAAATAATCAAAACCAACCTCCAAATGTTCATGAATTTGTAGTCTCTGGTTCTCAACAGTCAACACCTAAAAGATCGTCAATTTCTTCGTTGTAAATTTCCATGTACGAAATTAAACTCACAAATCAAAAGTTGTACTCTTTTTCTTACTCCTCATCAAAAGTAGAACACATAAAACTTCAATCTGAACAATTGTTCCTATTAGTACTCCCTTCGATATGCTACATGAAACAAAAGAACAAGGGGATAGAAGACACCATCTTAGAACTCTTATTGACTAAGATGAAAAAAAAAATCGACACATGGGAATACATCTACCAAACATACACATATGTATACTACGTACTTGGTTAGTTTGAACATAATCATGATAGCCTTAGAATTAAGCTAATATGGAGTTTAAAACTTGAAGAAACGTCTTACCACTTAAGCTCCTGCAACCACATGCAAGCTCCTTCTCCTAAACACCTTCCTTCTCATTTTGTATGAAGCAAACAAACTTAATTGAACAAAACAAAGATCTTTAGGAAAATTAAACTCAAACTTAGAAAGTAATATATCAATCACAGACATTGACACTTAAAGTCATAGAAAGAACATATCTTACTTGTAGCAAAACCACTCTTTTCAGCTGCTCACTTTGCTAAGGGGTTATAACAGCTTTGAAATACAAAGAAAAAAAAAATCAACCATAAGCAGAGAGCTTATAAAGAAAGAAATAAAGTTTGATTATGCAATAGTAAAGCTTATACCTTTC